GGATTAGCTACTGAAAAATCCAGGAACCTTTTCCTTTTATTTCCCATGACTACCAAATAATATCCCCCACCTCTTGGTGCTGTTAAACTATAATAATAATTGCAAAACATTATGCAGTGTTGCAAACTGTTTATTCGTTTCTCCCAGGTCGCACAACTTAGGGAATCCCACTTCCAACCCTCACTTCTCCTCCTTCCACTAGAGGTTCCACTCACTAATCTTGGGTTGCTATCGCCCATCCTCTCGCTCACCCCTGCCCCACCCCGTCCCCCTACCACAATACAGTCGAACCCTGCTTCTAGATAAAACTTAGTGCCTTTATGAGCCCCTGTGGATGCTTTACAATGAGGCGTATTGGAACATTTTCGGTCCAAATTCGACTGAAAATTTTGGCATATATTATACTGATGCGTGTCAGTTCCAAAGCTAAATGAACTTAACAAATTTAAAGGCACTGCATCATTCGGGCTATTGTTTTTCTTGAACACAGATCTGCATGTATATTGAAGTAAGGTTTATACGTAACAGCCTACTCAAGTTTTGCTGCGCTATAGTCCTGCCAGAACTCTCCGTGTTTTCAAGAGCCGAAAACAACCGAATAGATCAATCTCACATGCACAGCCTTAGCCTGGCTTAGCTGGCTAGCTGCGCGTGAGCCATGAGATCACTTACTGAGTGTTCATTTTTTCAGGCGTCCTCACAACAGCTGTCACATGGTGCCCTTTTTCCAGTGCTTGCTTTACCACCTCGTTTCCTGTTCGACCTGTCGCTCCAAACACAACAAGTTTGAGCTTTTTCGAGGCACCGTCACCTGAAGCCGCCATGTTGGAAGAGGTCGAATGGCAGAGGGTGGACTGGGTTAGAGTAACTGTCGGGGTTAGGGTTACCCGGGTACCGACACTGGAAACCGCGCAAGAACCCAGGGTACGAAAGTATCAGAGTTCGAACAATGCTTTCTCCCCTAGGCTAAATTTTACCACAACCTTTTGATTCTTGAAACAACACCATCCCAAAGCAAAAACTCCAAAGTTACCTTCTTTCAATATTGATTTACGCGCGCAGCTCCGCTGTTCCGAGCTCGGGGTTGGAACAACCCTGACAATGCAATAAATGACCTGCAAAGAAATCGCTTGATGTATGTAATTGGAGGATTCGAGCTTTATGTCTGTAAGTACATTACAATACAACAGTTCACATAGATTTCTTGCCATAAAACCTCTTTCGATCACCCAAAGAAAATGTATTGACGTCAGCTACAAATTACGCACGCTTTACCTTTGTTTTGTAAGAGCGCGCGCTCTCGTTCAGAGTTTCTTTAGCCGAGTACAGTGCTAAAAGGAGGAAAAGTTTAACAAGAGAAGTAACGCACAGAAAAATGAGAACTTTTATGTTTCTCTTTCTTTGCGTCCTATGTTGCTATTCAAAGTTTGCCCTCTGTGATGTCGTGGAGCAAGAAGGTAAGAGATGTAAGGTGGCGTGTGCGGTACAAGAATTTTAAACCGTTATGATTGAACTTTTTCGTGCCTTTTCGCTGTAAATGCCCAATACAGAATTAGGATAACGAATTCTTTACTTAACCTCACTTTTCGATGCGAAATGTCATTTTGCCAAGCCTGTGAAATTCGATTAATGATATGGAAGGACGATTTTGTGAATCATTTTTCTACAAATAAGAGATGAAGTTTTATTCTGTCGACAAAATTGGATTACTCTGAAGGTGGAGGTGTCAGTTTATTTACAGTTAAATGGAAAATGTAAGCGAAACCGTTTCTGTTTAGTGAGCTTTGTTTTAATATTTGGGTTACCTTGTGCGGTAAGAAGCAGTTTTAGGTTTACATGTAGCTTCAGTATTATTGATCAGTGCAGTAGGTTTATCCTCATACTCCGCCGTGCGCGGGCTAAGTCACAAAACCACTACATATTCTTGAACATATAATCAGGATTGTTATGGAACAAAACGCACCGCTTCAAAATTTATCTCAGTTATCAGTACTGGACTGTCCTCAACCTGTAATATTTTTCACATAAAGGAGCTACTTCCTGGTTTACGCATCTTGAAAAACTTAGCCCAAAGTTTTCAAGTTCGCCGTTTGTCATCCGTGTCAATCTTCTCCATCCTTAACCATCCTTGTTCCTTAATGAGTTATTATGATCTCTTTGGTGCTTTTCTATCTTAGTAAACTATTACTTTCATGTTTCCTTTCATTTCAAAGTAATTCCTTACGTGGTCAAAATAAATAAACAATAGCCTCCATTTGGCGCGGAAATATGCTGAGATATTTGTCCGCGGACATTATCTGTTTCAAGAAGCGAACAGCTTTCCGAAAGCGTGGCTAGCTCGAGGAAAACCGTGAACTTCGAGGAACGGATAATGTCCAAGGAAAAATATCCGAGCATATTTTCGCGGCAAATGGAAGCTATTGTGTTAATTATCCTTCAAATGTTTTTCGCAACACGCGCAGTTTTGAAAATTGGGGAACATCCTCGGATATTGCCCAGTTTTAGCTGGGGAATATTCAGTTACGTGATGCGTCTAGACCAATCGCGGGCAAGCGAAAATATTTGATGGATTATAACTCAANGGAAACATATCCAGCCGTGTTAGGATATATCACAACTTTTAAAATGATTGGAGGTAAGCTGTGATATTACCTCTTTACTGTGCAGTCCTTAAGGATAGCTGCATTGCCCGTTTGCAAGGCTGTGGGTAGAGTCATGACGAGCATTCTACATAACAAGTTTTAACCATCTGCAACAGTAATTGAAATAGTTTTGTAATCCCACGGTTAGTGACCGTGGTTAGTGAACAAAAAGTAAGCGGCTTTACCGTTCCACTTTTCTAGAATTCTTATCCAAGTTACTGGCGTTGTGGCCTTGGAATTGGATGGACTCCATTGAGTACGTTGGCTATACTTGGGTTATTCTGTACATCTCGTTCGCTTTGATCAAGTTCGCTATGATGAATGAGCGGGAAATGTTAAGGTAGGCCAGCTTAAGTCGGTTAATCGCAAAGAAACGGAGACTTCCACGTCTTTAGCAAAGTGATATGCATACATTGGGCCGTAGAGTTTGTGAGCAGGTTCTTCGTCCTCCGTCTCCGCTGGCGTTCTCTTCAATTCCTGTCGCGATCAAATGCAAAGTACTATTAAGATCAGGTTGCATAGTTAGCTTTGTGCTCAAACGACTCGGTGTCATCGTTGTACTCCTTTGCATGCGAAGAGTCCGCTTGTGTTTTAATAAATGGTGACAACTGACACGACTAAGAGTGGTGACTATCACTCTATTATTAATATACGTGTATGCTTTCTTCTTGTAGACTGGCCAGGCACAGTGATCGAGATAACGGTCATTAGAACTCTCCAAACTGAAACAACGAAACTGATCAAGAAACTTGTCATGAGAACTTTTTCTTCTTTGACTTCTTGTTTGTTGTTCACAATTACACATGTAAAACTATTTTGTGCTCAGTAAATATAAATATAAAAGTTGTGCTGTTGTCCCTTGTTTTGTTGCGGAAAGTTTGCCTTACGTATCACTTTTTGATTTTGATTTGTGTAATATAGAGAACGTCCATCTTCAGGGAGGGCAGCAGGTAAATTAACTGCCCTAGCGAAAGAGTTAGCCCCGGCGTCGCCTCTGACGAAGGACTTTTGCTCGAAATGTGAGCTTTTCCAAACTAACGGACGACGAAATTCGCTACGGCGGTTATAATTTTCATTTTGCCAACCTCAAGCTTATAACTAAGTGTAACAAAACTCTTTCTTTAGTATCTAAGCACTTTGCTCTGATATATCCCAATGACTCTCATACAATAAGATGCTCAAGCAAGAATCAACTCACGAGTCGTCGCCACTGCAGCTCGAATTGAACTCAACCATGGTGAAGTGTGCCCAACAATTATGCCATTCATGAGCTCGCGTTGGATACAAAGTGATAAATAAAACAAAAAAAAGGAGCGCGTAAGCACCGAGTTTGTTATGATCACTCCGTATCCAACAAGGGCGAGTGAAATTAATTGTTTCATTAAGGGCCCATTAACCGATTTATGCGCGCGTTCGCGCGCGTTGCTAAGGAGGTAAAATTTCACTTCCGGTTACTTACGTCAGCCTGAGCGCGGAAAATAAAAACAATTCAATAACTTCCAAATTCGCTCACATTTTAGATGTTTTTCTTTGTGTTTCACAAAATGCAAAGTAAAAAAAGTAGAGGCCAAGACAAAATAAGAGAAAGACAGAAAAACAAGAGCAATAGAAAGAGAAAAACTAACTCCGTGTGGCTTTGTCTGATCTTACCGAAGTCCGCTGGTAGTGTAAATTGCGCACGCGCCGATAGGGTAACTTCCAAAAGATATCGAGCGCACTTCCGGTTTCTTCAAATGCTAAAGGAAACGCGCTTTTTCATTAAATCCAGCCTTTTTTTGACGGATTTCGATTAAAACCAACGTTGGAAACATAGCCATGCATTCCTTTTTCGAAATTATGCTTTTT